GCGCTTCGGGGCCTTTTGCTGCACCTTTATGCTCGTCAACCCTAGACTTTGCATGTAAACCAGCTGCTGCTGCTGTTTGCGGTCTGAACGTAGCATAAGACCAATATTGGAGTAATTACATAACTTCCATATTAACATTAAAAAGACAGAAACAGATTAAGAATACTCCTAATATAATTAAAACTCAAGATAAACTTTAGAAAACATTTTCTAGTGTATCAAAAGCTTAATTTAAACTGAACTGAAACTAACAGGCACACAGTGGACGAGGTTATGTATGAATTAAATGCAAGCATGATTTATTTTAGTGCAACAGGTTAAACGAAAAATTAAATGACCCAAAATATTATATTTATATCCCACTTCTTAATCAGACGTCAATCAGTGGAGGATTTGCACATGTGTAGCTCATGATCAATGGAGAAACAGTCGCTCTGCTCTCTGCAGAAACGGGCTGCAGTGTTTTAGAGGAGGGAGGGGTTCGCTCACTCACTGCACGCTAAAGATGCTAAACTCAGAGGTATTAGTGCACATGATGTCGCCAAAGTCTTCGACAAGACAGGAAATAGTCACTAGATTTAGTCTGAAAAGTCGCCAAATGTATCGATGGACACGGAGTTGGCCACACTGTGCTCACTGATGGCAGTCCAGCATCAGCTATTTGGTCTAATTAGAAAAGAACACCAAACCATCAGCAGCAAGTAATTCATTATTCTGTTGTTTTTTTTTTCTAGTTGCATATTTATTTAGAAACATGTGAATTTAAGATAAAGGATTAAATAACAATATATAAAGGAATTTTGTCATTGCTGGTGTGAGATTTATTTTATGATTTATAATTTTTTTATCTGATGTTGCTTTAAAGGTGTTATCACTTAAATAGCTTGCTTTAATCGTCTCTAATGTATGACAATGTTTGTGTTTGTTTTTAATTTCAGAAGGTCAGCACGTGTCGAGGAAGGAAGACGATGTTTCTTGGAGTCTAAATGTACGCCATCAGGAAACGATGCCTTTCTACATCAAAGAAGAGGAGGAGGAACTCTGGATCAGTCGGGAAGGAGATGATCTGCCTGGAGAAGATGGAACTGAATGCTCCAAATTCCCAATCAATGTTGTAGTTAAGAGTGAAGATGAAGAGGAGCCTGAGCCCCCACAGCTCAAGCACAGTCAAACCAGCACTAGAGAAGCAGAACTTCCAACCAGCAGTTCGTTTAAATGGATAAAAACAGAAACCGATGGAGAGGACTGGGGGCGACTGGAACTTCTCTGTGAGTCGGATCCAAGTCATTTCAAAATGGGTGAACATGGAAGGGATGCGGACTCTTCTGAAGCCGGCGAAGATTATGGCAATTATGGCTGTAAGAATTGGCCGGGAACTTTTGCAGTTACTGATAATCTATTGAAGGGAAGCCAGCTAGCTGAGTCGGCCATAAACAGTGATGCAGGCAGTAATGCTGCCAAAAGGGTCTACAGCTGCTCTGAGTGTGGAAAACAGTTTCTAGATGAACCGTCTCTGAAGAGACACATGAGACGCAACACTGAAAAAAGTTCCTCCAACTGTTCAGTTATTCAGAAGTGCTCTGAAGTGAAGAAGAATACAAATTCACAGACCAAAGTTCACACCGGCAAGAAAAACTTCAGCTGCGAAATATGTGGCAAAACCTTCAGAGATCATTTCAGCCTCACATCTCATATCAGAGTTCACACAGGAGAGCAACCCTTTGGTTGTGAAGTATGCGGTAAAAGGTTTAAGCACCAGCATGACGTGAAGAAACACATGAGAGTCCACACAGGAGAGATGCCGTTTTGCTGTGAGGTTTGCGGTAAAAGATTCAAGCATCAGCACAATCTGAAGACGCACATGAGAATCCACACGGGGGAGAAACCTTATGTGTGCGATATTTGTGGGAAAAGATCAAGGTTTCAGCATAACCTGAAGACGCACATGATAATCCACACAGGAGAGCGGCTGTTTGACTGTGATCTCTGTGGTAAAAAGTTCACCTGTAAGAAAAGTCTGAAGGCACATGAATCGGTTCACACCGGAGAAAAACCACACAGCTGCGAGATCTGTGGCAAAAGCTACAAACGAAAAACACACCTCCGTACTCATATGACTTCCCACACGGAGGAAAGGCCTTTCGGCTGCGAGGTTTGTGGTAAACGATTTAACCGTAAAACATACCTGGAGACACACATGACGGTCCACACTGGGGAGAAGCCTTACAGCTGTGACTTCTGTGGTAAAAGGTTTACCAGGAAAACCCATCTGGATTCACACATTATAGTGCACACGGGAGAGAAACCATTCGGCTGCGCAGTCTGTGGCCAGGAATTCACCCAGCAGGGAAGTTTAGACCGGCACATGACATTACACTTAGGATAAGGAGTGTTTGTGTTAATGAAAAGTATTTAGTAAGCTATCTAACTGCATCTGCAAGCAGATACAGCTAGGATCTTTTTTTCTTTTTTTGGTTAAATCCGACTCTCCAGAACACTATTACTTTGCAGTGTTATTATGTATTCTGAGCTGGAAATGAGTCCAAACACATTTCATCTGAAAGCTATCTAACTGACTTTCTAGAAGTGAAGTATTAGGTTGATTAGTTTGAATATTGTGTTTAGTATGTGTAGTAGTACGGAAGGGTTTCTATGTTGTGTATTAATGAGCAGTACATTTCTGCAGAACTACAAACACCCATATAAGTGGGTTCGTATGAACTAGTTCCTCTAATACTAATATTTTGGGCAATTTGAGTTTATATACATATTTGTTCTGTATATATCTTGGGAGACTTTGATTTCCAGCAGCCATCAAGAGTTTGGAGAGGTTTTCGATTGAGATTGCAGTCTTTGATCTGCTGACTAATTGCTGCCCTTGATTATGGAAGGAACTTGTACTTAATGACAATAAAATATTGTCAAAAACACTAAATCTAACTTTCTGCTCTGTTACTTTTTCAGTGGTGCAAGAAGGTGGTCTCTATGCAAACAGCACAATGTTACCTTGTTTTAACAATTCCCCCTTATTAAAAAATTCAAACAAACTACATACATGAGGGCTGGAAAATAGTTCAAAATGTATCACAAAAGATTTTCATTCATCAGCTTGCATAGGAAGTCGGAATTCTTCCATTAGTTCGCTCTTGGAATAAATATTGAATGTTTTAAAAAAGGCATGTATACTGCTTTCCAAGCGCTTTTATTTATTGTCAAATCTGAGTCGATTCAGTTTATTTATATAACACCAATTCACAACACGTCATCTCAAGGCACTTTACAGTTCAATCGATCTGGTTTAATGTTGGAAACTGAGTTTTAAAGTAATTGGCAATTGTATTTAAATATCAAATCATTCTGGTTTAAACATGTATATAAATGTTCTCTTTATCAGACCAAATTGCCCCAAAAGTTAGAAAATTTCTGTTTAAAAAAAATCCTGTCTTAAAATCTTTTTTTCCGTTATCTTCTGCAGGCCAGTTAGTTCTACGTCAGCCTGAACACCTAAATTC